CAGCTCTGCTTTCCTCTGGGTGGGTCTCACTCATTTCAGGTGGGCTCACCCTGTGTGAGGGCAAAGGTGTTCCCCCTTCCCAACCTAGCAGCCCTGGGAAATAGAACTCCTTCTTTTCCTGTAAACCCAGCAAAAGTCGTAGGGCTGATTTTCGTTGCTTGGCTTTGATCATGTGCTCATTCCCCAATCAATTGTTGTAATGCTCACAGCCAGGTCTGGATCACCTGCCCAATTGTGGGCCCTGGGGATGCCCTGAGGCCAGCAGGAAACACATACAGAGGGAGTGAGGTAGGGGAGGTGAGACCCCCAAGAACCAGGCTCTCAGAAGAGGGGCCTGGACAACAGGAGGACTTGGACCAGCAAACCTCTTAAAGTTGAACAGCTGCACAGAAACCCTGAAGCCCAGGCCTGCCAGGTGCCCAGGAGATGCTGGATGGAGCACAGCTGATGTCCTGGCCTTCAGTCTTGGCCCTGGCTGCTGCCCTCCTGACCACCAAGAGCACATCCTCCTCTCAGCTGCAGTTCCTGAGGGTGCAGGGTGGTGGGAGTGTCAGAGCCCTGCACAAAAGAAATAAGTTACCTGGCAAGCTCCAGTCCCAGCTGATCAACGCCTGTTTCCTGATGGGTGAGAGGGACTCAGTGTCCTGTTTCCAGGGCTGCCAGTGGTTCCTGAAGTTCTGTCTGTGGGCGCCTGGGCATGGGAGGAGTGCAGGAGTGTGTGACTGTGTGCTGGGTCTGAGCCATGTCTCCATACACCCTGATGGAGGCTGTCAGCCAAGGCCCACACACCCCTGGGGTCAGGCAGTCCTCCCTGGGCAATTGCTTCACTTATCTGGGTGTCATCCACCAACTGAGGCAGCCCTGTCTTCCTATACCCTGCAGTGCACGTGGGTGTTTAGCCCAGAACCTGGCACACACCAAGGGCATGGTCAGCTTCGGCCACTATCATTCTTCCTGTTAGTATTACCATCAAAAGAATGTCTTGGGACACATGGTGTTGAGGAAAAAGATTGGGCTGAGGGCAGGACCCTTGAATGTGGTCTCTGTTCTGTGGCCCACTCCCTGAGTGATGGGGCCTCTTTGACCTTGACCCACCCGAATGTGGATGGGCACCCCACCAGAAATACATTTCCTGGAATCAGCCTAGCACAGGTCTTTCTGATTGCCTTATGGTGGGTAAGGTGAGAGGCAGAGAGAGACTCGGACTCTGGCCACCTCCCTGGAGGAGGAGGCAAGGCTTGTGTTGCCATGCCAGGTGGCCTGTGATTGCAGGGAGTTAGTGTGGTTTGATGGTGCAGGTGGAGTTAGGTGTGGCTGAGCTGAGCAGAGCACGGCAGGAGAATCCCTACGTCGAGGAGACTTCAGCCCATATCCACTAGTTCTCATTCTGCAGACATTCACTACACACCCCAGTGTGCTGGGCTCTGGGCTCTGAGCAGGCCAGAAGGGTGTGTCCTGACCCTCACAGGGCTGACTTGCCAGCAGGGGAGATGACAGTGAACTAGACACCCCAGAGAGCAGGCGGCTCAGGAAGAAAGCAAAACGGGGGATGGAGGGGTGAGTTCTGGTAGTCTGGGCAGGCCCCTCCCAGAGGTGCCGTCTCACTGCCCCTGAAGGAAGAGCAGTTTGGACAGAGTCATGCTGCTGGTGTTTCAGGGCCTGGATGGCCAGCCATTGTGTCTGGAAGGGGACAGCCGAGGGGATGAGTCTGGGTCCTCAGGGACTTTGTCATTCCTAGAAGGGGTTGAACTGGTCATGCTGAGAGCCCATTTTATATTTTGACAATGGGAGGCCCTAATGGCCAAAGCTAGGTCAAGATCTAGAGTTGGCAGGAAGAACCCCAGCAGGCTCTCAGGAGGAGGCTTTCCTGGAGGGAATGAGGTGCTGGGACCAGTGTGAGGAGCAGTGGGTGAAGCTGTCTGCAGGGAGAGAGGGCAAAGTCACTGGGGAGGCACGGTGTGGTTTTCATATCTCAATCGATAGTTGATTTATGCTGGCAACAAGTGCATTGGTGTTGTGGTGTTAGGATGTGATAATTATAAAAGCCGGCAGCTGCTGTGTAGAGAGGTTGCCACTCTGAGCCTCCTGCAAAGCCCAGCCTTCAGGGCCCCCTCCCTGGATGGCTTTTGGTCTTGGAAGCAACTTCCTCTCTCTGAGCCTTGCTTTCCTCAAAACAAAGGAGAGGTTCCAAAGGAACTGAGGGCCTTCTCTGGTCTCCCTGACCCGTGGCTCTAAGGATGCACAGATCTGCAAACGTTTCTGGAACAGCGGTGATGTGGCCACCCTGTGAGGGACTGGGCCCCAGACAAGCCTTGGTCTCATCCTTGTCTTGGAGAAGCTCTCACCCTGGAGGGGAAGAAAAAGAGAATTTTAGATTAAAGAAAAACCAGGTGCAGGGCACACTCCAAGGATGTCAGGAATGTACACGCATCTTGGGACACCTGACTCCTGTTCATCTTGTCAGCCTCTTCCATAGCTGTGCAAAGTGGAGTTACTACTCTCATGGTTGCAGCTGCTATTATCATTCCCATTTTACAGAGAAGGAAGTGAAACCTCAGCGAGGGACACGTCCAAGGCCTTCCTGCAGGGGAGCAGTGCTAGAGCTTGGACCCTTTAGCCCTGTTCGGCCACTCCTGACACTGCCCCCTCAACACTGAGGGAGGTGCGCTGTCCCCTTCTCTTGCTGTGGCCAGCACCCAGGAAGGCTGTGAGCCCCTCTGCCCACATGGGAATCTCTGGGGCAGCTGTGTGAGCTGGATAGAGAGAGATCCACCTACGTCCCTGCCCCTCTGTGCCTCTGTCCTTCCTGCAGAGAGGCTGGCATTCCTGTGGCCTGGCAGAGGGTCTTTGCACGGATGGCCTGTAACACCCATGCATGGGTTGTGATTATGATTAAGAATGGAGCTCTGGCCCTGAAGGTGGGTTGAGAGGGTGAGATGTGGAGCCCAAAGGGCGGTGACCGGAAGTCAGCACTGCTTCTCTGTTGGGATATCTTCTGCTGGGTGACCTGAGGCAAGACACTTGCTCTCTCTGTGAAATGAGTCTGATAATGGCTCTGAGGGGAGGCCTGGGGCCCAAGAAGAAGACCTGGCCTGCCTCACATGAACCATACTGGTGAGCACCTGGGTGGGGGCTCTGTGTGTGGGGGGTGTTTCAGGCTTGAGGATACCCTGCACTCACCCCCTTGTCCCAGGAGCGGTCAGAGTCCTGGACCTGGAGGATCCCTGAGATGTTCCTGTCCATTCCCTTGTCCCCAACTGGAGAGATGCCACCCGCTCCTTTGGACACTCACAGTGAGGCCTCAAGGGAGGGGTGGCTCAGGCCGCATTTGGGACTAGAGTGATGCTTTCTTCGCCACTGGCTTTGGCTTCCTCATCTTCTGGGAAACAGGGCGGGCAGCTGTGTTATTTTCCTCCTTGGTCACTTGGAGGGAGAAGGAGGAAAAGTTTCCTGAGAGCTTCTGGTCCCTTGGGAGGCTGGTATCTTAGGAGGAGAAGGAAACCAGGACACTGTGTGCCAGTCAAGGGCAGGCTGGGGGCTGGAGTCCCCTGGGATGCCCCTTCTCTCTCTACTGCAGCCCTAAGCAGAGGGGCAGGGCTGTCATCTTGGGGACACACTTGGTTCTGAAGTCTGGCTCCATCGTTCAATAGCTTTGTGACTAGCTAAGAGACCACCCCTCTCTGAGTCTCAGTTCCTTTATCTGTAAAATGGGGGCAATGAGCTTCTCTACCCCAAAGGGTCATAAAGACGATAAAATAATTCTAGCTGGGTCCTTAGCACAGAGCCTAGCACATACTGAGTAATCAATAAACGTTAGTTGTCTACCCAGCCAGGAGCTGTGCTAAGCACTTTAGGTATACTCATCTCATTTAATCCTTGCTATGGCTCCATGAGTGTGGTGAGATCCACTGACAATGGGGAAACTGAGTCAGCAAGTGGTTTCATGACCGGCCTCCATAGATGGTCAGTAGAAGAGGTGGGATTCAAACCCAGGACAACCTGAATGCTAGGCTGGGCTGCATCTACTAGCTACCTGGTCTTCAGAGCCTGGGGCTGGTAGGGCCTGCAGATCACTCTGCTCTGAGCTGCCAGCAATCTGGGCGCCAGCCAGAGAGCCGTCCTCCTTGGTTAGAATCCTGCAGCCAGTCTCCCCGCTGTGCAGACACATAATTATATTTCACATTAAAGGGGAAGCTGGAGGCTGAGGGGGCCGGGGAGCCCTTTGAGGCCCATGCTGTGGGCACAGACCTGCTTCTTCGGCCCACTTCTGTGGCCCTAGGGCTGAGATGGGGGTCAGGCCAGTGATAAAATGGGGTTTCCCTGGGTCAGGACCCAGCCAGGCAGGTCTGTCTGCCAGGATGAAAGGCCTGGGCTCTGCGGGAGGCAGAGAGATATGAGGCCCAGACAATAGGCCCCAGGAGGCTGGGAGGGCAAGGCTTGTGGGGACAGGCTGGGAAGAATGCCTCAGCCTCCAAGACAGGGGTGGGCAAGAGAAGGGTGTCACATGGCGGTCAAGTCAACGGAGAGGGCAGCAGGAGGAGCACAGAGGAGAAAGCAGGAGATGGGAGAAGCCAAACAGAGCACAAGATGGGGAGGAGAGATGCTCTGGGGGGGGGTGGATAGTGTATGTATACAAGTGTGCGTGCTGGTGTGCAAGAGGGAAAGATTCTGCAGGAATGCACTAGCTTAGATCTGTGTGCATGTGTGCACACGTGCAGATACCTCCTTGCATGTGCACACGAGCGTGTATACACCTGCGACCATCATGCATGCCAAGGCATGTATTTCACACATGTGGATGCGACGCCAAGTTTGTGTATCCGGCTGTATGCACGCATGTTCAAGATTCCCCTGCCTGTGTGTGCTCGCCAGGCACCTGTGTGTGCGCGCGTGTCCCGGGGAGGACGTGCCTGTGTGTGTGTGTGTGT